ATACACTGTCATCAATCCTCCTCAAAATGTTCTCCCTTCCTTTGAATACACATGTACCACTGATCTTACCAGCATCTGATGCAATTCTGGAAGTCCTCTTCTCATGTGTTTAGGAGGTATGATTAAAAAAAAAAAAAAGTACAGTGAGTGTTGCTGCCCTTTGCCTCTAATGGAAAGGCAGGTTTGTAAAACTATTACAGTGAATCCTCACCTACCTTATGCACTGGATCAGGCACTGTATGACTTCTAGCTCTTCCTCAAAAGTAAAGGGGCCGGGGAGATGGCTCAGTGGAATAAGTGCTTCCCTGGCAAGTACAAGGGCCCGAATTTAATCCCCAGTTCTGCCAAAAAGAAAAACCAAAAAACAAAAAACAAAAAAAAAAAGCGAAATGACTGGCAAACTCAAGGGCCTGAGTTCAATTCCCAGTTCCATCAGAAAATAAAATAAAACAAAGAAAAGCAAAATGACCATGAAAGGTACATGTTTTGAACCAACTCAGATCATCAAATCAGCCACAACAGTGCAATTAAGTTGCACGTGAGAATTTCCAGAACTGTTTCTGAGAATGGCAAGGACACTGGGATAAGTCTCTTCAAACCAAAGAAGAATTTTTAAGAGGGCCTTTGATTATAGTAATACATTAAATTTAAGTACTCACCATATTATGTGATTATACCATAGTGTGTGTGTGTGTGTGTGTGTGTGTGTGTGTTTAAAATTTTTATGCATTTCGCACAGGGCCTCACTACACATCTCAGACTCATAGTAATCTTCCTGTGTCAGCCTCCCCAGCGCTGGATTACAAGTGTGCATCACCACTCCCCATTTCCATGGCTGGCTTTGGAGGGCCTGGGGCAGGGCTGTCAGGACACGCCATAACAGGGATTAAATCTCAGTCCTTCTACTTTCAAGGCAAGCACTCAGACCACCAAGCTATCTCCCCAGGCCCAACACTCCATGTAGTTTTGAAAGCTTTCAAAAGTCAGACTGTCATGAATATAAGAGTATAAATTTGACAGAACAGTTCTCACATAGTTGTTCCATGCGATGTATATAGATGGCCACAAAACTAACTGGTTGTCCTGAAGGCTATATTATTCTTTAATTACTCAGAATTCTAATGACACAACAGAAAGGTGGGATGCTAGGTGACAGATTAAGAAGTTATCAATTATATGGTAAAGGTATACATAAGAAAAAAATTGATCCCAGTTTTCTACTTGTGGTAAAGAAAAGTTGTACTGAACATAAAATTAGAATTAGCAAGCTGGGGAGACAGCTTGACAGTATAAGCTCCTGCCTGGCAAGCTCAAAGACCTGGGTTTGATCCCTAGTAGCACATGCCGTGCCAGTCACCAAAACCAGGCATGGTGTCACACGCTTGTAATCCCAGTGTTAGGGAGGCTGAGACAGGAGGGTCACTAAGATTCAGAGCTGTATGGTGAAACCCTGCTCTAAATAAATAAAATATGAAAAACCAAAAAAAGAATTAGCTGACTAAGGGTTTAAGGCTTGGTGTTCCTGTGAACTACTGAAGAAATTATAGGTGATTATATACTGAAACAATATGAAAGAAAATTTTAGAAATATCCTAGCTGGCGAAACCAAGGAGTTACACACTTTACAATCAATCACTCTTTCAAAATGTGCACATTTAGTTGTTTGTAGTCATTAAGATAGTCAAAAACTGGCTGAAATTTTTAGGAGTAATTTTCTAACATTATTAATAAAAAATCTTAATGTCTTTATAAATCTAAAGAATAGATTTCAACAAAGTCATGAACAATGGGTTGGTTCCAATCTGCAAGGCTTATTGAGGCCAACAGAGTACTGCTGGTTCAGTTCAATATGCTATGTGGTAATACAAAGTCAGGCTTGCATTTCTACAAGTTCTCTCCAATCTGTAACTCACTATTCAATTTTGTAGAGAGAATCTGCTCAGACATGCCTCCCAATCTCAGATGTTTCAACTGTAAAAAAGAGGATACATCATCTCACAAGGTTATTTTAACTAATTTATATAAAGGCCTGGACATCACCAAAGACCAACGGCCATCTTGAGGAACAGGAAAATTTTCAGTCAAAGATCTAGCATTGCTATATAAGAATATAGTTAAAAACAAAAACTCTTCAAATTGTGACATGGCTAAAATGACTTACAAATTTCTACAGTTCAAACTATCAGTAAGGAAAACAAAGGTAAGTCTATAACCTCTCATAATATGATGAACTTATATGGTATAGGAAGGAAAATGTATCAAAAATCTAAATACTATTTCACTCTGGAAAAATAAACAGAAGAACCATATTATTAACAAATGAACTACTTTCAAAAAATACAGTGAAGAATGCTACATTATAAAAAGGCATTATAAGAATCGTTTAATAGATGATTTACACTTATTTCTAATACTTTTCTATTTTCCTGGAGAGTAAAACCTAGTATTTACAAATCTCCACAGAATAAGATAGCAAACAGAAAATGTCATTCACTTGTATCCAAAAGTTTTAAAGTACATCAAGGTAACAGAAAGAAAAAAAAAAAAAAAAAACACTGCTGATGTGCCAAAAGGGGACAGAGGAAACAGATTCTACATAGAAAGAGAAGAGGAAAACAAGTATGGCTCCCGTAACAGTTTGAACCTTATATTTTTGAGCAGGAAAAAAACTACTCTGGGATTGGAAGCTGGGGAGTCAAAGAATCAAATCTGTGTTTTAATGAAGATTCATTAAGCAGAACTGATTAGAACGGCAGTCTTGCATGTGTGTTATACGTGTTTGGTTTCTCCAATAAAACACTGTCACTGGAAGGTTGATTATGGGTGTGTCGCAAGTAATTTATTATTAAAAATACAAAACCTAAGTTTGTGAATGATTTTCCTTTTCGCATTAATTTGAGCATAGAGGAGGCTACTCCTGTAAGGTGTCCGCATCCCTTACCAAATGGACTGTTAAACAGCAGAGAAAACAGATGAAGAAACAGGTAGACGAGCCAGGGAAAGGTGCAGCCTTGAAAATACCTCTGGAGTGGAGCTGGGAGTCATGTGCTTGGTCTCCTGCAGGCACGGGGTGAAGACTAGCTCAGCAGAAGGAAAGGACAGAGGTTTAGATGGTCTTGCCAATAAAACATTTCTACATTCCTTATAGAAATCAATTAACAAAGAGCTATATAACACATAGGTTGCACAATGGTTAGTGTCACACTGTTTGGTAGACAGGGTGCCCAGATATTTGGTTAAATATCATTCTGAATCAATCTGTAGGGATGTTTCTAGAGGAGATTAACACACGCATCAGCTGACTGAGCACAGCACAGTGCTCTCCTCAGTACTGCTGGGCCTCAGCCAATTCACTAAAGGTCCACATAGAACCAGAAAGCCTAAGGAAGGACAAACTGGCCGGTCTGCCTGCCTGTCTTGGAGCTAGGAGAGCTAGCTGCTCCTAAGACTGAGGTTCAGATTAACTTCTACCATAACCTGCTCTTGTTCTCTGGCTCTCAACTCAAACTGGAGCTATACTACCAATTCCCTTGGGTCTTTGGCTTACCAAATAAGTATCAATCTTACAGCTTTTCTGCATCCATAACTATGTGAGCTCACTCCCTAAAAAACACACTCACATCATTTTGGTTGTTTCTGGAGGACTAAGATTAGTACAGAAGGCTAACCAGACAGGGAAAGACAGGACATGTGGGAGAAGACAAGGAGAAGTTTCTGCCGAGACCAGCTGTAGTAGAGAAGCAAAAGGGAAAACGCAATCTTTCTTTCTTATCCTACATATACAGCTAGGTTTTAAATGCTCTCAGGAAAACTCAAGATAATACATTACGAAACCATTTTCTGAGCTTAAAATTAGGATTTCGTATCTGTAAGAAATATAAGCTTTATATATGATAGGAGACTATTCTCTATTTTTAAATTTTTCTACTTAAAACTTCATGATATGCAGTTTATTTTCAGCATACATATCTGATACCTAAATATGCTGGATCCCAACTTAGCTAACAATAAAGTATAAGTGAACTTCAAATGTTCAGAATTGGATCACTATTATGTTCCAAATCTGAAATGTCCCCCAAAAGTCTCATGCATTCAGAGGCAGAGCTTGGGAAGGTAAAGAGAGCACCACACCCCCTGTGGCTGCACATGCTGCCAGGAGCAGGACAGGTGGAGGGGTCCGGGCCCTGGCCTGGCAGCGGACGCAGTCTTATTTCCCCTGCTCCTCCCTTTGTCCCCTGCTCCCTGGCTGCCATGCAGTGAGGAACTCTCTTGTGCTATACTTTCCTACCATGTAGTTTCTTTGCTGAAGCCAAACAACCTGCACGTGAATCGACAGGAAACCATGAGCCAAAATAAACCTCTCTGCTTTAAATAATGCTCTC